TCCCAATTCCCACAGCCTTCTGGCCCCAGCCTTCTCCTTTTGGCCATAATCCACTGATTGTTAGGAGCCAAGCTGGGCAATTAAGAGGCAAAAACAAGGCTTCCAGCTTCAGTTGTCCCTTTTAAAGACATAACAGGAGCTGTTTGCATTTTGCAAAGCTGTGCAATCAACTAAGGATGCCTAATGCAATTATGGCACCTTTTTCATTTAAGACATTTAGGTAGACATTTTAAACTGTATCTTTGGGCATCTCCAACATTAACAAATTATTAGACACTAATTGCTCTGGGTCCAAGCCACTTCTATAAACAGACAAGGTTTTCCATTTGCAGAATTCAAAGCATACCAGAGCAATTTGTGTTGCTTAATAGCTACAAATTTGTTAGCTTGACTCCAAACCAACAAAACCTGGGAAGCTATTATGTAAATATAGATAATGTCTCTCCAATGATGGTAATTAATGCAGAGATCTCCAGAAAGAAATTCGCTATGATTAGGTCTCTTACAGCAAGGAGTTTAGTCTGGGGGAGCTGAACATATTTCTGGCCCCTTGGGTTCTTTCTGAGTCCAAATAAGCCCTTCGGTTTCCTTAGAGGGAAGAAGACCCAGAGCATGAGGCCTCAGAGATAGCCACGCCCAGAGTGGCTGTGGCAGCTGGTTGTCATCTTTTCTCCCTCTCAGCCTTGCAGAGGGATGGTTCTGTTTCCAGGTGGAGCGCTGGGTCTGACGTTAAAACCTCTCATTTGTGTCAAGATCGGGCTCATTAAGAATTATAAGGGGGCTGAGGTTGGGTGGTAGGTGGTTGTATTAGCTTCACTGTTGCTGGGACCAAGTACCCACAATTGAAAGAGGAGAGGTTTAGTTTTCTGAGGTGCCTCTGCAGAGGAGAAACAGTTCATGGTGGGCAGAAGGCAGCTAAGCCACAAGGGATGACCACAGATCTTTCTATCCCTTCTATCTTATCCAGGCTACTCAGGGCAGGTGGCACTCACACCCTAATCCCAGGGTCCTGAGCCTAGCCTTGCACCATGAATCAATTCCGGATCTCACACTTAGATCCAGGCACCTCAGAAAAGCCCCACCTATGACTGCATGAGGCTTTGGGGGACATCTCGACACAAACACTCACAGAGCCACGCATTCCCACCTGACTGTGCATCTTAAACAGCATGGAGCTGGAAGGGCAGGTTGGGGAATAACGTATTCTGAATGATAATATTTATAGAAAGCTTAAAAACATAAGAAAACAATACCACATATTGTTTGTGGAGGCATGGATATGAACTAAAAGTATAAGCACCTGTGCGTGAAGGAGAAGAATCTAATGGGATGGAAATGCCCAGGAGGGGAGGAGTGGGAGGATAAGTTGGCAGGAGCACCAGCAGCCCCCTGTGAATGGGAAGATTTTATTCTTTAGCAAGGACAAACAGCAGAGGCCAGGTGACAGCTACAAGTAAGCTGTACGGGCACCCAAGGCACTGTTCTCTTCTGCTCTGCATGTTTGAAATGTTTTAGCTGGATCGTTTCCGGAAAATGTCTGCAGTGTGTGGTGTGGGGGAAAGCAGATGGGGTGAAGGTGAGTGTGTGAGCAGAGGTGGCAGGGAAGAGAGCTGGGGAGTCCCTGTCCCTACCCTGAAGCCACCTCTGAGTTGGAGGCGACGTCTGGGCATTTGTGGATGGAGTTGTGGGGGCCGAGCTATGGGGCAGCCTGGGCTAAGCTCCTGGGAGCCGTGGAGGGAGCCGGCGTGGCCCTCAGGGTTGTCCCTGGCTGGGCCGGGCTGCTGGGCGGTCCTGGGAAGGCGGTCACCTGGGGTGAGGCTGACCCTGGCGGGTGATAGCTGAGTGCTGTGTGGGGAGGGGGTGTGGGCAGCCCTGCAGGGTCACCCCAAGTCATCTGGGACAAATTCATGGCAACCTGGACTTTGTTCTGTCAGTAAGTGTTATTCTTTAACACACTGGTTGTTACGCCTAGAATTTCAAATAGCAGTTTAAAGACGTTTCATTGGATTCGGGCCCAGAGGTGCACACCCAGAGCGCGTTGCTTCACCGACCGAAGGCCAGCACACAATGCTGTCTTCCAGGCACTTCCTGGGCTCTCCTTTACTCAGCAGCAGGATCTGCTAAGTAGCGCTTGGCAGTGGCGGCCAGCACACTGGCTTTGTCCTTAGCTGTGTCCTAACTCCAACGAGAGTGCAAGCATCTGCCCCACGGGTGTACAGTGCATAGAAAGTTGAATACAGCCACTGAAAATATTCATGCAAATACCTTCATTAGGAAAATCATGCAATTAACCTGAAACGCGTGTTAAACGAAGCAGCCAAATTGCTGCGTATTTCCCAACTCTTAATTATAATTTTGGTAATCAATTTTTCTCCTGATTACCAGGAAAAAAAAAAAAAAACCAAAACAAAACTCCACATATTGCGGGCTCTGAGGCTGAGCTGGAACCGAGATAAAACCCCAGTCGGCTCAGCAGAGGCCGCCGTTAACCTTTCCTGTGTTTTCTTCTCGGCAGGCATTTCCTGCTAATGCTTATTGCTGAAGATTGGATTCTAACAAGAGCGTTTCGGATGAAGCGTGAGCCTGAAATGTACGTTTCGCGGGCGCCACTGTCATTAAAGGGAACCAGCGTTCCATTACCATCTTCGCAGCTGCTTTACTTCTTCAGGGAACGCTTTCCCTGTGCAAAAACTGACATCCAAGCCTACAGCATGGGGTTTTCAGATGGCCACACAGGCGCTGCATCGTATCAGAGGCGTCCCAGGCACAGGCTTGGGACTCCTGTGTGCTGCACTTTTGGGGGCCTTGAAGGCCAAAAGCAGCACGGGGCATTTCTCAAGGTGCACTAGGGGGCGCTGCTGAGCCATAGGCGCCTCCATTGCTCTCTGTATCCCCCAAACACCGGGAGAATACTTTCCCAAAGCTGGGAGGGAACTGGAGGGTCCAAAGCAGGCGCTGGGGTGGACTGGCCGGGACCCAGAGCAGAGGGTGGATTCCCAGAGATGGGAGGAGCTGCAGGGCATGAGGGACAGAGGTGAAGTGGAGCTGGCTGGGGTCTCCAGGTCCCCAGCAGCCCATCTTGTCACCCTGGCTGCCACCTTTCCTAGTGAAGGCAGCAGGGCTCCTGGCACGCAGGGGATCACACTCCCCTCTGCTGTCACCTCAGTCCCCCCCCCCAATTTAATCCCTGCTCAGAGAGGTCAGCAGGCTGAAGCAGGACAGGCTGGGTGGTTTGGACCAGTGGCTAGGTGGGACCTGCTTTGGATGTCACCACCCCACAGATGGGGCTTTGCAGGGGAGACCAGAGAGATTCTGTAGCAAACAAGGAAGGGTGCTGCCAGGTACAGAACCCTGAGATCCCATGCGTGTGTGTACAGACCGGTTAAGCAAACTCCTTCTGTTCAGCCCCAAGAACTTGGTTAAATGATTATGATGTCCTTTAGAATATTCTAGAGCCTATTTCTGAAAAATATTAATGGTCCATAGTCCTCGTAACAATAGATGCAGACAATGCTGGCAAAATTTTACCAACTGGCATAAAGCAACTCATTAGAGGAAAGTTACCAAGGCCAAAAGACCTTGTTCTGGAGGTAATTTATCACTAAATGAGAGAAAATGCTTAAAAATGTTGATAACTGAAGCAGAAAATTTTTAAAAATGAGTCCTTGCCTTTTCATAAAGCAGTGGGAAAAAATCATGGTTAAAGGAAGTTTTCCCTTAACACATTGATGCATTGCTTTTGGAATTAAAATCCAGCTGCTGTGTGCAGGGGACCTTTTATTCAGTGCCTGACATTGCAGCAGCCGGCCTCACTTTGTCCTTAGTGATGTATAAAACCCCACTTTATGGGCCCCGTGCCTCTGCACTGCCTGTGTTCTCCTCTCCTGTTTTCCCTGTAGCTTATTTATTACCAGCCTCCCTGCTGCTCCTGGAGCAAACTAGTGTTACTTCTGCCACGGGGCCTTTGCATGTGCTGTTCCTTCTGCCTAGATTGCTTTCTCCTTCTCCAGACATCTCTAAGACTGGCTCCCCCATTTTTTTTTTTAATCTCAGCTCCTCAGTGTCACAGTTTCATTAGAATCTTCTTGAGTACCTTTTCCAAAAAAGCATGTAAGTCTACCCTGAATCCCCCTTCCCCTAGCTCTCTCCATCTACCCCGGATACCTATCCTTCTCTGTATAACATTGAGACAGTCCCACCACAGGCACAGGGCAGTTATACTCCTGGACATGTTGCTCTCTAAAATATGATTTATTCTCTGGAGGCAATTGAGATTTAAAAGTTGCTTCTACTAAAAAAGCGATGATTCTTTACTTAGGCCTACAGATGCCCAATGGGTAATGAAAGGCAGGACGGAGCTGGATTTTCATTTTGTGTCCGTCTTCCTTATCATCTGAAAACCTCAAGTCAGATTCCCTGCTCAGCTCTGCACAGAAGCGGGTCAGTGATTTCTGGATCGTCTAAGCCAGATGACACGAGGTTCACCGGACCTAAATTTACATAATACATTCAAGCCGAGGACACCAGGACAAGACATTCACAGGGGTGTGCGACTGCCCATGCACCCGGAAGTGGTCTAGTCACTGCTCTAGGCCTGCAGAGCTCCTGCAAAACGGAGGCTTCCGCCAGCTGACACCATCCTGTGGCGGAGTCCAGGCCCCTTCACCGGCAGAAAGACCTCTCCCGCGCCACAGTACAGATCAGAACGGACGCAGTGGACGCAGTGACCCCAGCTCCGTCAGTGGGCGGGCCTGCTCTCTCCAGTCTGGCGTGGCCCCCTCAGCTCCTTGCGCAGAATTCCCTTCCCCTCTTGGCCCTCACAGAGACCCCGCCACACTTTTCCTGTTTCCCGCACCGGCGGTCAGTGATCTGTCCCCCCCGAGCTGCGGTCCCCGTTTCCTCTTTAGAGGTCCAGCTTGGACCCTGTCTAGTGGCATTGCTACCCGCGCGCCATGCATGGACCTGTTTGACGGTTGTCTGTCCCTCACTGCCGGAACGCAAGGGTGCGGGGCGGGGACCCCGTCCTCTTCCGGCCTTTCTCCGGGACGCGGACACCCCCAGTGCGGCACCTGCTGGGTGATGAGCCCACTGAAGGGCTGCTGTGGGAGCCGCAGCAACTTCTGCAGTTCGTCATTTCAAGCCCTTTTGTTCAGAGATTCTGCCGACTTGCGCTTAGAGACCCCTTATTTATTCTTAAAAAGGCAAAATATGCACGAGATGTAAAATTCAAAACGGCCGCAAGAGCAGGTGAGCAGCACGCACACCGCACCTGCCCCGCGCCGGCCTGAGGAGGAAAGGCAGCTCTTGGTGGTTTCATTTGCGTTTCTCTTTTCCTAAGTGAGGTCCAGCTCCTTTCTCGATGGACATGTGAGGGCAGTTAGTATTTGTTTCCTCCGGACTCGTGTGCTGATGGCTCTGCCCATTTTTCTCTTGGGCTTTTTCTTACAAAGTTGTCTTCTCCCTTCACCTTCGTGAGTCCTTAGCAGGGGCTCCCTAGGACCACAGACAAGGGAGAAGAGAAATCCAGCCATGCTGGATACATGGGTGGTAAGCCAGAGAAAGGAGTTGCCATTTAAGTCCTGAAGGCCACAGTTTGCCGGCACAAAGGCAGAGGGGCCCAGGGAAAGGCCCGTCTAAGACAAGAGGAAGCCTGTGCTGCGGGCTGAAGTCCAGGCCTTTTCCACTGATTGGGGGGAGGACACCCTTTCAAATGCAGATTTCCCTTTGTTTTAGTCCCTTTCCCATCACAGAAAACCTGACCCTGCAACTTAAGGCAGGAGACATGTGTGTGTGGGGGGGTCACCATTTGCACACTGTTTGGTCCAGAATCAGCTGGTTCCAAGCAGAGAGAGCGCTATGGAAGGGTCTGGTGGAGGGAGGAAGCTCACCTCATGGCAACCAGGAAGCAGAGAGGCAGAGGGGAGGAACAGGGAGGGAGAGACACTCTCCCCAGTCTGCCCCAAGTGACACACCTCTTCCCACCAGGCCCTACCACCTAAGGACACATTTAGCTTCAAACTCACCAACGGACAGACCCACTGATGAGGAGTCCTTCCACGATCCAATTTCCCAGAAAAATGCCCTTGAGACTTTGAGAGGACACCTTAGATCCAAACCATAACACCTTGGTAGATGTAAACCTCTTACAAAAGGCTACCTTCTTAGAGTTTCTGTGTTTGCAGTTTCTCATAATAACCAGCTGGAGGCGATCTTACATTCTGGCACCTTCTGTCTCCTACAGGCATTTGTAGAAGCTCTTCTCATATTAAAGGAAGAAGACCTTTGGATATGCAAAACATTTTTCACAGCTTGTCATGTGATTTGATGTATTTATGGTATACATTTCCAGGCAGAACAGCTTAATTTTCTTGTCAAATGGATCAATCTTTTCTTTTATGGCTTTGCAATGCATATTTAGAAAAGCTTTCTTGATACCAGGAAAATTTAAAATTCTTATGTGCTTTCTTTTGGTCCTTCCATATGCTTTTTGATCATGCATACTGCTATACAGATTAAGAGGCTATCCCCTTATAATCCATGTACTGGGCAGGAAGCAAAGAGGTGTTTCCAAAAACAGTACTGGGAATGTTCAAATAAAAATTAAAAAGAATTTATCACATAAAACACGCATTGCCACAAATCCTCCTCAGAATACTCTTCTTTGCTTTGAGCACACTTGTCCCATCATCTTGCAACTTTCTGAAGCAGTTCTGGAAGTCTGTGTGTGTGTGTGTGTGTGTGTGTGTGTGTGTGTGTGTGTGTGTGTATTTTGTGGCTGCTTTCATGTCCTGAATGGATTCAAAATCTTTGTGGAAGTTTCCACCAAATAAAAATATTCCAGGCCAGGTGTGGTGGTGCACACCCATAATCCAAGCATTTGGGAGGCCGAGGCAGGAGGATTGCTGTGAGTTTGAGATCAGCCTGGGCTACATAGTGAGTTCCAGGTCAGTCTCAACTATATAGTGAGACCCTGTCTCAAAAAACAAAAACAAAAACATTCCAGTGTGTCCTTTGCCGCCTTGTTCACTGGATTGGGCATCATGCAACTTCCGGCTCTTCCCCAAAGTCAAGATGACCCAGGACGGTCAAAGTCTTAAATTGATTGAGGACATTGAGATAGCCTGGGGGGTATAGTGAGTTCCAGGTCAGTCTCAACTATATAGTGAGACCCTGTCTCAAAAAACAAAAACAAAAACATTCCAGTGTGTCCTTTGCCGCCTTGTTCACTGGATTGGGCATCATGCAACTTCCGGCTCTTCCCCAAAGTCAAGATGACCCAGGACGGTCAAAGTCTTAAATTGATTGAGGACATTGAGATAGCCTGGGGGGTGCAGCCAAGGATACTCATGAAAAAGGACTTTGAAAACTGCTCCAGGAGGTGGTGGGAATGATGGGATAAGTGTCTTTGGAGCAAGGGGGAGAATCTTGGGGAGGATTAATGGCAATGGGCCTTGCACCTTAGTACATTAAAATATTTTTTGAACGCTCACAGTATTTTTTGATCACATCTTGTATATTGGCTTTTCCCATGAGCCCATATGTCTGCCCCAGGAGTGGAAAGGAAGCATCCCCTTGGCTGACAGGTGTTTTCCATGGCCTTTGCGGGAGGTGCTGTGGCCCGTGTTGGGAGAGGCCTTCGTGCCGTCCTGGAACCCACAAAGTCCCACCAGGTGAAGGTAGGCAGAGAGCTGGAGGCAGCCTGGGCATCCTGGATGTTCCCGGATGGAGGGGTTCAGGAGATGTAACTCCCTCAGGTTCTGCTGTGACGTGGGGGTCCCTTTGCATGGAGGACACAGGGTGCAATAGATGCGTGCAGAGGGCCTCTCTTATCGCCTGTGGCCTCCAAAAGGACTCAACTGTCATGAGAGCCCTGCTCAGAGAGGCCTTGTCAACCAGAGGGGAGGCTGGAATCTGCCACCACACCCTGACGTGTCTCAGTGGCTGCAGCCCCACTGCAGGTTGTCCTTGGCAAAGTCCCTTTTTGTTTCCCTCTCCCTTTGCCTGGCAATCTCAATTCTAAAGAAAAACTGCACCTGACGGATTAAGATGCTAACTGCTAAATAATCTGTCTTCAGATTTACAGAACCCAGAACATCTGGTGGTCTTCAGATAACATCAGAGTGCAAAACGTACCCCTTATTCTCCAGGCCCATGGACCAACTGACACCTAGCACAGAAAATCGCTATGAGATTTAACTTGCAGAAAAGCGATAACACTGCCAAATAAAATACAGGAACTAGCTCCACAGGGTCAAGGTCAACCGTGGTCTTCTGGCCTCAGGTGGGTAGGGCAAAGACGGGAGCCCTGCATGACAAAGGCCTCACCCAGCACATTCCTTTTGCCAGCAGCAGCAGCTGCAGCATCTCTGCTTTGCTCCCTCCTTTCACATACCTGAGCTTCCCAAGATAGGCTTTTGTTGGGGACGCATCCTCCCACCTCCCAAGGTTCTGTCCCTTGAATAAACCTGATTTTCTCGGCTTTTAAGTAGCGAGCAGATGGACCTGGTTCTGGTAACAGACTACCGTCTCATCTGCTGAGGGCTGTTCCCAGGTGACCCGAGAAACTTTATTTATTACCTGAGAAACTTTCTCTTCACAGAGCACAGTACTATGGTTCGTATGTAACATGTCTCCCAAAAGGACCCCGTGTTCAGAGGTGCGGCTTTGGGAAGGTGATCAGGTTGCAGGAGCGATGCCCTCCTCCATGGACTGATCGAAGGGTGAGCTCATGGCTGAATTGTGCTGTTAGGGTCCTGGGACTTGGGTGGAGGAAGTGGCTCGCTGGGAAGGTAACCAGACGGGGTGATTTCTCACCGCCGGTCCCTTCCTCTCTCTCCAGTGCTTTTCCCCTCATGCTGTTTTCTTGCTGCTGTGAGGTGAGTATCTGTCCTCTGCCTCACCCTCCTGCCTTGGTACTTCTGTCTTGAAGCCAGCTGACCATAGACTGAAATCTCTGCATCCACGAACCGAAATAAATCTTTCCTTGTCTAAGTGCTCTCCTCAGATATTTGGTCACAGCAACAGAGAGCTGGCCCAATACACACAGTGACTGTTACCCTCCACCCTCTCCCGTAACTGACGTCCTCGCCATGACTAAGGCCCCGCAGAAGCTCCGAGGCCCCTACCTTCCTGCAGCTCAGCACACGACACAGGCGTTCATCCTCTGATCCTTCCTTGCACCTCAGTCTCGTGTTTCACAGGGCTCCTGTGCCTACAAACGTAGTTAAAATGGTTTTTTTTTTTCCTTTTCCTGCTAATTTGCTTTAGGTCAACTTCATTTGTAGCCCAGGCAAAGCACCTAGAAGGGCAGCGGGAAACTGTCTTTCACTCTTCTTGTGGACATTACGTTTGACTCAGAATATTGGAAATGCAGATCTGGGGCACAGGCTCTCCCAGCAAGCAGTGCTCTGAGCTGTCTATCTTGTGATTCAAAGAAACAAACATGTGAGCCAATTTGAGGGCTCCTTGAGGTAGGCAGTGCCCCGGGCCCCTTCCATTCAGCTGTGCTGCCCACACCTCCCTGCTCACCCTGGCCTCCTGTGCCCACTTATCTTCTGATAAAACAGTCACCTCCGTGGTCTGTTCTTCACTTCTTATCTCCACCCACTTTCCCCCTGGGCAACTTCATCTCAGGTGGCCCGAAAGGTCCTCTACACGCTGCTAGTTTCCGACAACGTTATCTTTGCTGTGTGCTTTCAACACCAGAAAGTTTGAGGTTGCAGTCAAATGTAGAGGGAGAAAATAGGAAAAAATATATAAGTTATTTGGTTTTTAAAGATATAATGACCGTGGCGTTTGTGAAACCATACAGGAATGTGGTAATTTTAATTTTCAACATGATTGGCTTGAGAGATGCCTAGGAAATTAGTAAAGCACACTTGTGGGTGTGTCTGGGTGGGTCAAAGTAATGCGGTGTTGGAGGCTGGCCCTTCTCCTCAGGGTCCTCTTGACCCGGCTCTCCGCTTCCTGGGTCCCCTGAGGTGAGCAGCTTTCTCCTCCATACCCTTTTGCCTCTAAGGTTTCTGCCTTAGAGCCTGCTGACCATGGACTGAGACCTCTGAGCCTAAATAAGCCTTTCCTCCTTTAAATTTTGCATGTCAGATATTTTTTTTCCCAGCCTCAGAAAGCTGACTAATACAATGGCATTTAAAAAAGTTTGAACGGAGCTGGGTGTGGTGGTACATATCTATAATCCCAGCACTCTGGAAGGCTGAGGAACCCAGCACAGGCAACTTAGTGACTTAGCAAGACTGTCTCGAAAAATAAAAAGGGCAGGGGATGTGTAGCTCAGCGGCCCTGGGTGCAATCCTCAGTATTGAAAGAAAATGAACAATTTATAAAAGTGCAAAGAATGCCAAAGGAAGACACTCAATTTCCTACTTACTAGAAATAACTGTTATTACCAACACTTGGCCTCTGTCACTGTGAATGAAAAGACAAATAATCTATTTTGTGGAAATTGGGTGATTTTACTACATGTGTTGTTTTAAAAGAGAGAGCATTTGATTACACTTAGAGTCCATATAAAAAAAATCTCAAGTTTGATGAGAGAAACATTTGGTTCATTAGCCAGCCAGTTAATCAGCGAGCTCCTACCAAGAGCAAGAGAGCGCTCGCACTTCTGAATGTCCACCGACACGTTAGCTCGAATCCCACCTCAACCCCACGGTGCCCCCGCATCCTGCTGGCGCCTGGCGGCAGCCACTTCTCTCGGACACCGCCGTCCTTACCCGAGCTTCACCTGCTTTGTGGAATCCCACCTTGCTCAGTGCACTGGTGCAGAACTGCGCATGCCTGCCTTCCCCACATTTTGGATATAAACCTCTTAGCCGTGGTCAGCAGGACATTTCTCCACCCGCTCTCTAGCCTTGGTGCTGGAAGCTGTGGAAACCGGTCCCGGGCCCTGGTCCTTTCCTGGTGTTTACAAGGGATCCACATCCCCTGCCACGTCACAGATCCCTAGAGACTTGTTCTAACTGAGCAGTGAGAAACACACACAGGAGGGAAACACATTCTTCACTTGTCCACCCATTCATCCTATTTGAGACAGGCTTTCCATGTGCAGTTCAGGCTGGTCTTGAACTCACCGCAGTTCTCCCGCCTCAGCCTCCCAAGTCCTGTGATTATAGGCATGGGCCACCACACTCAGCTTATCCCTTTAAAGTCAAGAGAAAGGGTGATAAAAATCGTCAAGTCTATAGCTTTTAACTTTTTTTTTAAACTGCATATTTTCACTCTGGATGGTACTTACTGACTTTCTGGTATGAAAAATGAGAAAATTGGCCCATTTATGTTTTCTTTTTCTTTTCTTCCCTATGTGCTTCAGGAAATCATTTTTTTTTGGTGCTGGGGATCCAGTTTGGGGCCTTGCGCTTGCGAGGCAGGCAGTGGCAGCACTGAGCTAAGTCCCAGCCCAGGAAATCATTTTTTAATCCCTTTTTTCTGGTACTGGGGATTGAACTCAGGACCTTGTGCTCGCAAGGCAGGTACGGTGCTACTGAGCTATACCCCCGGCCCAGGAAGTTATTTTTAAAAAATCTTCATTTTGTAGCAGTCGATTACCAAATGCTTATGCCTTATAAATCCTCAGAACTTAACTATTGCCTGATTTTACAATATTGAAAACCTTAGGAGTAAGCAAATTAGATAGTTACAATTGTGACACTTGAATTAATTAAACTGTTTTGTTTTCGCAACTGTCTCAGAGCTGTACCATGAGAAGACATGAACATAGTCCAATGGCTTTGAAGACTTTTTGCCTTCTGGGTTTGCCTCAGGAATAAGAAGAGCTTAACACAAGTGGAAAATTAAGATTTCTGTTATACACGATAAAGATAAACTGAAGAACCCCATGGAGTTCAAATTATCGTCAGTTTTCCCAATCAGCGGTTCTATCTGCAGCTGAGGGGAGGAGAAATTCCGACCTTGCTAATAATTAAGGATAACCTGTTCAGTGTGAGCTCCCAGAGCTTTTCATTTTGACAGTGATAAGGGAGCTGGGTATGGAAGGCCGATGTCTTTTTAGGTGCACAGAGAGGCAGGGTGAGCCGCCCAGCTGCCGGCAGACGCCAGGCCCCTCTGGAAACACTGTGAAATCCGCCATCGGGGCCGAGGTCCCGCACTTGCTCGTGGGCTCTGGAATTAGTCTTGCTGTTTCCTCCCTTCTTTCTTACGTTGCTTGCTTTCTTGTCTCTGGTACCATGAACTCACTCATTTAACAAAGACGTACTGAGTGTTGTGGTTTAGGTCTAACTTGTGTGAGTGTGAGTGTGTGTGTGAGTGTGGAAGGTCACAGGGTGCTACGGTCGTCAGCGCCTGCCCATCCCTAGATGGTTTGAGGGCTGAGGGTATGGTCAGGAGGTGGCCTGGGTGGAGGTGGTCACTGCAGGTGACCTGGAAGGGCACGTTCGCCCCTTTCATGGCTGTTAGGGATATTTATTATTTATTTATTTATGTTTGTTTTTTGAGACAGGCTCTCATTATGTCGCTGAGACTGACCTGGAACTCACTCTGTAGGCCAGGCTGGTCTCGAACTCACAGTGACCCTCCTGCCTCGGCCTCCCCAGTGCTGGAATGACAGGTATGCGCCACCACACCCGGCTTTGGCTGTTGGGGATTTTGTCCCAGGACCGGGGAGGTGACGAACACACTGGGCAGGCCCCGAGGCAGCTCAGATCCGAGCGGAAGGAGCTCGGACTCCTTATCTGGCTGGAAGCAGGGACCCAGCCGCCCTGCAATGGGATGCTTGTGCCGGGACCCCAGGAACGTAAGGCCGCGGCGCTGAGCGGAGGGCCTTCCCGGGCAGAGCGCGGAGCCCGAGGGTGACGACGTCACAACCGCTCAGGCTCGCTCTCCGTTCTGTGCCACCGGCCAGGAGCCGTCCTCCGAGACTGGGTGTCAGTGTTCACCTTCACACGGGCCTGTGCGGAACAGCGTGAGGATGCAGACGCAGCGAGGGGAGCGCAGCACGGCCCACGAGGAGGGATTTTGTCTCAGACTTGCCACTGTCCACAGGGTGACCTCAGGGGCAAGCAGGGGCAGCCCTGGGGCACAGTCCTCGGGAATTCCAAAGGCATCCACCAGGACCTTCCAACATGGATTTTGGAAGCAGCCTTCATTGTTTAAAACTCCATGAATGAGTTAGAAAGGCAAACAGCAAATGGGAAGAAATATTAACGATGTATGTATTCGCCCATTGCTTATTCATTCTACTATCGAGCACCTCGTGGAGTCCCCTTAAGCAGCTACCCAAATACACACCCTAAGAAAATGAGTTAGGGGGGCGTCATATCCAGGGTAAATCCAAACTTGACTCTTTCTTACCACGTGTTTTTCTCTCAGTCTCTTGGGAAACTGCTCTGTGGCTTAGGTCTAGCTCATCTTTTTTTTTTTAAACACATGTATGTTTCTGTTTAAATCTTGATGGATTCCAGGTTTTTAAAAATAACTTTTTCTGCTTGCAACTAGCGCTATGAGAAGCACTCTTGTTGCAGCCCCTTTGCAAGAGGCTAAGTCTTTCTGTAGCCTTATATCTAGTTGTTCCCCCAAAAGGTACGTGCATTGTAGGCGTCTAACTTTCCAACACGGAGGAATTGATTTTCATCTTATCAGCATATTACAAAAGTGCCCACCCCTTTGCCAATTATTAATTATCCATCATTACACACGATAACGATCTGAAGGGTAGAAAGTAAACACACACACACCACCAGCCGGCTCTCTCTCCTGGACAGACCTCATTTGTCCCAATTCCCACTTACAGTGTCCGTCACTCACACACACACACACACACACACACACACACACACACACACACCTTCCGGGAGTGATTTGCATTGGGAAATTGCTCAGTCTTCTTTAAAAGTTTGTGGATAAATTGAGGATTAAATTGCTTCCAAATGAAGTGGAAGCTTTACAGCAAAACGCGTGGCCCTGAAGGGGATCAAAATCACGGCTCAGAGCGATTTCAAAGTACTTACCAGGCCCTACCGGAAGGTGCGCATCCAGGGACGGGGAATCTGTCATTTGCTGAATTCTTTTTGAGGTAACAATACCAATCGGCAGGCCGCCTCTCTTTTGGAGTGCAGTGGATGTGACAGTGGTGGCCCCGAGACAGGATAGGACGGTCAGGCCTGCGCTGGCAAACGGAGGCTTCATCATTTCAGAAGCTGTTTTCAGAGAGAGCGACACCGCGGGATGTGTGGGCAAAGAAACGCATGGAATCTGAATGGCACTTTTGACCTGGAACTGGTTTCACAAAAGCTGCTATGTTTTATTTTCTACCTAGACATTTATATTTTAAATGTAATCACGTTGAAACCTTAAGTGGCATTATTGTTAAACATGGAACTGATGAAATACAATGTTTGCTTGTTCTTTAAAAATTACTCCAAATTGGACTGCATTGATTCTAAGCGCTTAGGGCCCCTGCGTGTTTGTTGAAGTCGTTGGTGGTCAGGGAATATCTCTGGGACATTAGGTCATTTTTCTTCCGGAATTCCCCATTTTGTGACTGATAGCGATGCTGCCTCCCTCTCTGAAGTCCACAAGAGTAATAGAATAATGTTTTCTGGGGTGCTCTTGGGGTGTGGACACTAGGAAATTGAATGTCGGAAAACAATCATATATGTTAGCCCTCTGAGCAATTCATTTGCGGCATTAAGATGCCCAACCCAGCATAAGAGCCT